AAACAAAGAAGCTGCAGAGGGATTTTTACTGTTCTCTTTCCGTTACAACCTTGTAGTGGCATTGGGCCAACACCACATAATCTTCAAAGCTGAACACGAGACAACTGGGGAAATATATATATTCAACACTTAACACGGAGAAAAGCCCAACGATGAAGACGGCAGGAAGACTATTTAAAAGTCATCGAATTGCATGGCTCGGCCTTGCAGGCGTGACCATACTTATGTAACATAATCTCTTGTCCATAATAAGTGTTTTGTTCTATCTCCAGCCTAAATGTGTTCTTTACCATATATTGATGACTGTAGCGACCGAACAGCCAATATTCGGTTGGAACTACGGACTGACGAACCCAAAATTTATTCGATTAGACCAGACCAAGTCCCTCTGTATAGCTCACAACGCGTCTTTGAGATACTCGTATTATATTATATCAAAACACAAACTCTGTGCTCAATATAAATGGTTCTAATTAAGAAAACAGGACAAGTTACATCAAAAATACAAAATACCTCAAACGGTACAGCCTGTGCTATACAGTCAGAAGTTTCTCTGACGCAAAGTAGCGCGCTAAACAATGAAAGAGACAGTTAACACTAAAGGGTTTGATACCTGAGAATCAATACAAATATTCCCAATAAGATGGGATCAAATATCTATCTGCAGGGATTGCAGCAATTCTCCCAAGCAGACAGTCAGAAGGTTAACAGTCACAAACTGAACCACGCCGCGACCTTGAGCTTAGTCAAACACAACCTTACTATCAATGGTCCGGCAACATGCAATAGAAAATTAGGTAACAAAAAATAAGTCTTTAATCAAAATCACATGATAAAGGCTCAAACGGGGAAGACTGAAGAACAAAAGACATGGTTAAACGAGATCGAAACAAGGGTTGGAATACCCAAAAGGGAGAAGGAACAAATAAATGAAAATACTGTTAAACAAAGAAGCTGCAGAGGGATTTTTACTGTTCTCTTTCCGTTACAACCTTGTAGTGGCATTGGGCCAACACCACATAATCTTCAAAGCTGAACACGAGACAACTGGGGAAATATATATATTCAACACTTAACACGGAGAAAAGCCCAACGATGAAGACGGCAGGAAGACTATTTAAAAGTCATCGAATTGCATGGCTCGGCCTTGCAGGCGTGACCATACTTATGTAACATAATCTCTTGTCCATAATAAGTGTTTTGTTCTATCTCCAGCCTAAATGTGTTCTTTACCATATATTGATGACTGTAGCGACCGAACAGCCAATATTCGGTTGGAACTACGGACTGACGAACCCAAAATTTATTCGATTAGACCAGACCAAGTCCCTCTGTATAGCTCACAACGCGTCTTTGAGATACTCGTATTATATTATATCAAAACACAAACTCTGTGCTCAATATAAATGGTTCTAATTAAGAAAACAGGACAAGTTACATCAAAAATACAAAATACCTCAAACGGTACAGCCTGTGCTATACAGTCAGAAGTTTCTCTGACGCAAAGTAGCGCGCTAAACAATGAAAGAGACAGTTAACACTAAAGGGTTTGATACCTGAGAATCAATACAAATATTCCCAATAAGATGGGATCAAATATCTATCTGCAGGGATTGCAGCAATTCTCCCAAGCAGACAGTCAGAAGGTTAACAGTCACAAACTGAACCACGCCGCGACCTTGAGCTTAGTCAAACACAACCTTACTATCAATGGTCCGGCAACATGCAATAGAAAATTAGGTAACAAAAAATAAGTCTTTAATCAAAATCACATGATAAAGGCTCAAACGGGGAAGACTGAAGAACAAAAGACATGGTTAAACGAGATCGAAACAAGGGTTGGAATACCCAAAATGGAGAAGGAACAAATAAATGAAAATACTGTTAAACAAGAAGCTGCAGAGGGATTTTTACTGTTCTCTTTCCGTTACAACCTTGTAGTGGCATTGGGCCAACACCACATAATCTTCAAAGCTGAACACGAGACAACTGGGGAAATATATATATTCAACACTTAACACGGAGAAAAGCCCAACGATGAAGACGGCAGGAAGACTATTTAAAAGTCATCGAATTGCATGGCTCGGCCTTGCAGGCGTGACCATACTTATGTAACATAATCTCTTGTCCATAATAAGTGTTTTGTTCTATCTCCAGCCTAAATGTGTTCTTTACCATATATTGATGACTGTAGCGACCGAACAGCCAATATTCGGTTGGAACTACGAACTGACGAACCCAAAATTTATTCGATTAGACCAGACCAAGTCCCTCTGTATAGCTCACAACGCGTCTTTGAGATACTCGTATTATATTATATCAAAACACAAACTCTGTGCTCAATATAAATGGTTCTAATTTAGAAAACAGAACAGATTACATCGAAATTACAAAATACCTCAAACGGTACAGCCTTTGCTATACAGTCAGAAGTTTCTCTGACGCAAAGTAGCGCGCTAAACAATGAAAAAGACAGTTAATACTAAAGGGTTTGACACCTGAGAATCGATACAAATATTTCCAACAAGATGGTCAGTCAGTCCAGTCAGTCAGTCAGTCAGTAACAACGTAGAACTTCGTACGTACATACATCAGTTTGAGTTGCCACACCACATTAGCACAGAGATGCAGTGCTCGATTCAAATCCCGTAATAATAATAATTTATTCTCAAATAACAGTTTGTTACATGAGGCATGCCAGTTTACAGGCAAGATCAAATTGATACAAATGATACAATATCTACTGTAGTAAATTACATAGCTGGGTTGATAATTTATAAGATATGAATGTAGATGGTTTTAATCAGTACTACAGTTGGCGCGCTTCATGAAAGTTGCGTTGCGAATGTGCAACGGATGGTCAAGGATAGGTCCATGAAGGTGGGAGCTTCTAAATGTCGCAACCTTATGTCCCTTTGGAATGCCTAAGGCTTTGAGGATGGTGCAGGATAAAATCTTTCGTTCCATATCACAAGGGGGCTGAAAGAGGGAGCAAGTAAAAGAAAACACGAGGGGCAGAGTAGCCAATATTCATGAAGGAATGTTTAAGGTATGATTACTCAGTCTAATTTTCTTTTATTAAGGTATTTGTTAAAAAAGAGCATTTTAATAGGTTAAAGAAAATAAGTGTTAACAAGGTGTGAGTGGACATACAACTGACAAATGGAGGCGATTCGGAAAGGAGCTGAGAGTATGGGATTATGTGTGATTATAAAATAAAATATAGTGCTAGAAACAGTATTGTGATATACAATTGGCTATCTTCCTTTTATTATCGAAGCTATTAGAGCCCCTTTCGTTTTTTTGTATTATTTTTTTCAGGTATTATAGGGTCTTGAGTAGGCTTCGTATATTAGCGAATTGTCTAGTTTGCTTGTAATAGGATTTCTGGGTAGGAAGTGAAACCAATTCAACGTTCGTAACACGATTTAAAGAGGTATTTTGCGTGATAAATCAGCATCAATACCATAAGTTCGTGACATCCCACTAAACCATAAGGAGCCGTAATTAAACAAAATGTTCTGCCCTACAGACATGGGTGGATTGAAGTTATCTCCCCACCTTCATGTTTGCTGGTCAGTAACGCCACCCTCCCTCCTTTTGTGATGTTAGGCTCTCTTACGTTTGTGGTAAGTATGAATACTGCTTTAATCAAAGCCCATAGTTGGAATACACTGTCTCTACTAGGTCCATGTTACAAGCAAATCAGATAGTTGAAAAGTCTTTTCATGGGTTAGATGTCCATATAGTATATCACACTGCTATGAAAATAACTAATGGTTTAAAGAAGTAAGGACTAATAGCAAATCAAAAGATATGAGAGGGTATAAAATTGTAGAAAAAAAAGATTTCAGGGTAAGACAAATAAAACATTGAGAAACTCACAAGACTTTGTGGCCAAATTTTGAGCTTTGTATGATCGGCCTTAGTAGATCAGCATCCATAAGATTGAGCTATCTGTCTACTTGCAGTAGAAAAAAAAGCATGACTTTTAGGAAGAATAATGTACATTTAACCTGTAGAGATTTGGGGACTGAAAGCTAGGGTTAGGAGCATGAAGTCATGATTAATAAACAATGAATAATAGGAAAGGATAAGCCATATATTCTGTGATTTGGTTATATTCATATTAGTAACAGTCGAACTTGTTATAATTTTGTTCTTTCTAGATACTAGGCGGTCCGTAATAAAGTGCCTCCTTGGTGGGCGGGAGTTCAAGGAAATGTTGAAGCTCTTTGGAGTCTAGAAATAGGGTTATTAGCTTTTTGAATCTGGTAAACGTATCACAGTTACGGATAGGCATTGGCAGCCTGTTCCACAATAAACTGTACCGTACTGTAAAAAACTTACAACGCATTTGTTTTTGGTGTTTTACGGTAAGTAGTGTATATGCGTTGTTTCTAAGTCTATAGGCTGGGTCGTGGGTGATAGTCGGGCAGGAGGTTAGAAAGGAGAGCCCATATATCGCTTTGTAGAGAAATATTAAATTGTTTTTAGCCTACGGTGCCATAAAGGTTCTAAAGATAGATGCTTACATCGTCTGTGTAATCGAGATTCGAGTTACATCCTAGTAGTTGACGTGTGAAACGTCTTTGAACATCTTCTACTCTTATCTTGTCTGCGATATTCATATTAGAGAAGACAAAAGAGCAGTATTCAAGGGAGGGTCGTACACATATTTTGTAGAGAGTAAGTTTACCCTCTGTTGTGAAAAAGTTTTTCATTATAAAACCAATTAGCCGTCTAGATTTAGAAATAATAGAGGAGGCATGTTCTTCAAAGTTTAGGCTTCCTGTGTAATTAATTCCTAAATCGTGTACTGATTCGAATGTTTGGACTCTACATTCATTTAAGTGAAGTCGCGGTTTATAGGGATGCTTTCCAAAGTGCATGATCCCGCACTTGTTGAGGTTAAATGGTAATTGCCATTTTTCACTCCATATAGTTAAGTTATTGAGGTCCTTTTGGATCTGGGATACACTTTCGCTTAGTGTCTCAGGCTTATAGCTGTATACTATTTTGAGATCATCAGCATATAAGTATGGTTTCCCAAATTCTATGGTGTTACATATATCGTTTATATACATAAGAAACAAAAGTGGACCTAATACGCTTCCCTGGATGACTCCACTGGTGATTGGTCTAGGGGACGAGAGACAGTCATTGTACTTTACCATCTGTTTACGTTCTGTTAAGAACGAAGCAAACCATGAGTACAGTGGGTTGTGTATTCCGAAGGACTTTAGTTTGACGAGTAGCCTTTTGTGTGGGACCTTATCAAAGGCTTTCTTAAAGTCTAGGAATAGGACTGATACAAGGAGTCCGCTGTCTCGTTTCAGAGTTATATCATTCAGGTAGTCTACTAGGCATGTATCGCATGATCTGGACCTAAGAAATCCATGCTGGGAGGTCGAGATGAGATTATTAGTTAGTAGATGTTGGACTACAGCCGCCTTAACTACTTTTTCCATCACTCTGGATACCACTGAAGTTATGTTTATAGGCCGGTAATTTTCAACGTTTGCTTCAGGTCCTGTTTTAATTTTGGGAATGATATGTGTAGTTTTCCAGGCAGTAGGGTAACACGCTGAAGAGAGTGATATCGCGAATAGTTTGAGAAGCAAAACACACATATCATCACCTCCACGTTTTAGCATGCTAGATGGGATACCATCTGGTCCATCAGTGTAGGAGTGTTTCAATGTACTGATTGCCTTGGAGATATTTTGTACACTGAATTCTACATTAGTAATTTCACAGGGAGTTACTGGGATTGGTTCTGAATCATTAAATGGTTTTTCGTTAGTTAGTGAGAAACAAAAATGTTCACTAAATAATTCTGTGATAAGTTTGGGATCTTCGTATACTTGTTTGCCTTTAATGAATATACTCCCTCTCGATTTAGAGCGTTTAAGTTTATTTTGGAGTAGTATGGTGAGTGCAGAGGAGTTATTATTAAGTTCAACTGCACGTTTTTCCTGTGCTACTGCTTTTTGTTTACTTATTGCCTCTGTTCGGACAAGTATTTCTGTCATCGTTACTAAAGAGGAAAAGTCATTTAAGTTGTGGAATCGAGTACAATGTCTTTGAAGACGTCTTCTTGTACTGACCGGTATATAGAGATCTTTGGAGAACGTAGGTTTACAGTATTCTAAAGGTGCGATGTTGTTGATGATACTTTTGATGTTGTGATAAAATATATTGGTTAATGTGTCGGTATTGTTTGAGGTAAAGAAAGTTCTCCAATCAGTGCTTCTTAGGTAATTGTGGAAGTTATTCCAATCAACCTTGCGATAGTTTCTACGAAGTGTTACGGTTTTACTTCTATCGGTTGTGGTTTTTACATTAAGGCTGCATATGACAATGTTGTGATCACTACCTGGGAACTTTTTTCCAATATACAAAGTATTGGGGATGAGGCCACTGGTAAAGACTAAGTCTAAGATGTTTTGATGTCTGGTAGGGCTATCGACATACTGAGTCCATTGTCCAAGCTCTAGACATTCAATAAATGATTCATAACGTCTCGGCGCTTTGACTGGCAGCCAAGAAATTTCGGGCATATTGAAGTCACCACAAATGAGCTTGCCTGTGAATGAGAGGGATGATGCTAGTGTGAATACCTCCGATAATACTGCTATTTCATCTATTGATGCGTTAGGTTGACGATAAACACAGCCGAGCAGTAAGGTAACGGAATTCGACGGCTTTAATACAATCCACACCGAATCCTTCAGTTTGTTTAGTTCAGGCATATCACATAGCAGTGAGTTTAGGCTAGAGTGAGCGTAAATAAGGCATCCTCCGCCTCGTCCATTCAATCTATCGCTTCTATATAGGGAATAGTTATCAAGAGATATACTTCGGTCGGAAATATTACTGTTAGTCCATGCTTCAGATATCATAATAACTGATGGTTGATATATGGATACAAACAGGGCTAAATCCGTCTTTTTGTTGCAGATCGATCGAGCGTTGATAAGACATATATTAAGCAAGTGGCCTACTAAGTTAAAATGGGTGAGGGTATCTCGGATAAAATCGTCGTAACCCTCGCGTGTATGAGATGAGTTTGATGTGAGGGATTGGATGTTCTTCATTAGCTCGGTATTTTGATAGCTAGACTTATTGGGAGATGTATCAAATGAGCTAGTGAAGTTGATTGGGGAGTTTACCCAGGAGGAAAGGGTGGGAGTACTCTCTGATGGAAACTGTACGGAGGAAACAAATTTATGGTTTGCATGTGGTTTGAAATAACCTGGGCTATATGCTTCAACAGAGGTGTCACTAGGGGTCTTATTCCAAAAAAATCTTGTACAGGCCTACTGTGAAGTGTATGGTTATTTACAAAATAGTCTTGATGGTTAGACTCGTAGCCCCTGTTATGGCTATTTACGTTAGCGTGAGAGGGGTCTGCTACGCGTAACTGGGAGGAGTTGCGACTGTTGTTATACATGGGAGCCGTTGTTATGTGATGGGTCGGTAATAAGAGTATAAGCAGTAATCGGGAAGATTAGTGTTTGGAGATGTTATTCAAAGAGTATAATACAGTGAAATAAATTTGAGAGGAGAAAAAAAAGAGACAAGGAGGAATAAGGAGATCAAAATTTGGGAGAACACAAAGAGTGGATGCACCTGCGCCATTGCAAACGATTTTGAGCCATGTCATTCAGGGTCTCTAACCATCGGTTGCCATCATCTCGTGGTCCCCAACCAGGTAGTCTACACCTACCAACATGACTCAGTCCACTTGTCAGTGACTTCATGGACTTGTGCCATGTTTTGGTCTGGCCGCCCCTAGCTTTCTTCCAACCTACTCCTATACCACTGAACATCGCACGTCGAGGCAGTCGGTCGTTGGGCATACGTAACACGTGTCCAAGCCATCTCGACTGATGAAGTTTCACTACGTCATCAATTGATTTGCCATTCTTACCTAGTACCCGTTTCCTAACAGCTGTGTTACTTACTCGATGGTCCCACGATATACGAGCAATATTTCGAAGACACCTATGATCAAATACTAGTAACCTACGAATATCCTCTACTCTTACCGGCCATGTTTCACTGCCATAAAGTAGGACGGAACGAACTGCTGCGCAGTAAACACGTCCTTTGGTTGATAGACGGATATCTCGCCTACGCCATAAATGACACAAGTTGACGAAAGTTAGTCGAGCCTTCTGTATCCCTGCTGAGATTTTGTCACACACCAGACCACAAGGGCTGATGAGACTTCCAAGATAAGTAAAGCGGTCGACACGCTCAACTACTTCACTCTCTATCATTAGTTCGGGTGTCGATGCAACCCAATCCTGAAGCAACATTTTGCATTTCGAGGGGAGAATCGCATCCCGAACATGCTTGCATTGTTGCTTAGAGTGATCAGAAGACTCTGCATTTTGTCAGCGTCTTCACCAAATAGAACTATGTCATCAGCATATTCTAGGTCAAGAAGTGAGTCTCCCGGCAGAAGTTCAACCCCCGAAAATTTAGATGAGGAAAGTGTTATCTCTGAAAGCACTTCAACGACAAAGTTGAACAAGAATGGAGAGAGTAGACAGCCCTGACGAACACCACTTGAGGTAATCAATTCTGATGACAGTTCGCCATAAGCTCTCACTCTACCAGTTGTGTTCGAGTAGAGAGCCTTTATAAGGTTAATGTACTTCTTTGGTACTCCTTTCAGTGACAAACACTGCCATAGAACCTCACGATCAACAGAGTCGAATGCCGCCTTAAGGTCGAGAAATACTACCATTGTGGGGCGTCTGAACGTGTGTCTGTGTTCTAGAACCTGACGTAGTGTGAATATCTGATCTATACAACCACGTCCAGGTCGAAAACCAGCCTGATTTTCTCTAGTCTGCTCTTCACGAGCTTTGTTAGGCGTCGAAGTATTATTGAAGCTAATATTTTAGACACTATATTAGTCAAACTGATTCCTCTGTGATTGTCACAAGAGGACTTTTGTCCTTTCTTATAAACTGGCACAATCAGTGATTGAGACCAGTCAGATGGGATTACGTCCAGTTCCCAAATTCTACCTAAGACCTCAGTTAATCTCACTGCTAATACTGGACCACCATCCTTAAAAATCTCAAGAGTAAACCTGTCAGGGCCTGCTGCTCTCCCTCGCTTCAGATTTCCTATGGCTTTTTCAACCTCGTAAAGAGACGGAGGACCTACATCAACTTGCCATTCAGGTTGACTGGAGATCGTGGGACACCGAAGTGTGGCTGAAGGCCAGTTGAACTGATCCCTGAAGTGTTCTGCCCATCGATCCAATCTCCTGGATTGAGAATGCATAATATGTCCATCTTTCTCTGAGATTGTTTCGCTAACAGTCGGTTTCCTTAACAAGTCTGAACAATTGTCTGCTATTACCTATTACCGCTGCCTTTTCCATCTCTCTTGCTTTCGCTACCCACCACTGTTCGCGATCATTGCGTAGACTTCTTGTCAGCTTGCGCTTAAGCTGACTCCGCTCTTCATTATGTTCAGAGCCAGGTGGAATGAGTTTCCGAGCATCTATCAGTGAGATAGATGCTGCTGAGATCCAGTGTTGCTCCCTAACCTTACGGTTTACCTTACTAGCAGATATCACTGCTGTTTCCACAGCTTTTCGGATATCATTCCATGCTGCCTCGGGGTGGACATCACATACATGGCTGCCTAACTGTTTTCCTCGTTGTTCCTGAAATATACTCTTAGCTTGACTATCATTAAGTAGGGCCCTAAGAGGTTTCCTTGCAGCGTCTTTCCTACGTCCAGTAAGACGCAAGCGAATACGCGCTCGTACTAGAGCATGATCTGAGTCTAAGCATGTGCTCCATCGGTGGCTGATAGCGATGTGATCTATTTGGGTCCAACGTTGGGACGAATTAGGGGGTCTCCATGTTAAAAGATGTTTTTCCTTATGCCTAAAGTTAGTATTTGCAAGGAACAGGCGGTTATCTGAGCATAGCTGCAACAGACGGTCGCCATTATCTGTTCTTTGAGCCACGACACCATAAGATCCACCCAGGTGTCTTTCCCTATCGCTTAGTTTACCTACTTGAGCATTAAAGTCACCGGCCATTATTACTACATCCGAGCGCCTAGCTTTTAGGAGGTCGGAAAGCTTTCTGTAAAACTCATCTTTTACATCATCTGCGCTGCAGTCAGTGGGAGAATAGGCAGAGACGACGAAGAGGCAACGACGAGTGTCCCTATCTTTTCGGGTCCTTACTGTTCCGTTCAGCCGGACAGCGCACAAACGACTGTCTACTGGGATCCACTCTAGGAGAGCTAGTTTTGCCCTAGGACTCAATGCTATACCTACGCCGGCGAGGCCACGGGAAGCAGAATCAGGGCTTCCAGATACACGAAGTGTGAATCGAGTCGGTTCTTTATTTTGGCATGGTGAGGTCAGATGAATGACGCTACTCAGATCCTGTATGCGCGTTTCGGAGACGCAGCACACATCGATGGAGCGGGATTCTAAAGTCCTAGCTAAGGAAGCCTGCTGTCCTATTTGGCACAGTGTTCGTACGTTAAAAGCTCCTACGTGTAGTTTAGAGCGTGGTTTCAGGAGACCAGAAATAGCGTTCCGCGTACTCGAATCGTTTGCCCTAGCGGTGCGAGGTGATAAAGAGACGTGAGGAGGGTTAGTCATGGAGATAAGAGAGGTATTAGGAGGTGTAGGAAGGATTTGAATGTGACCAACTTGTTCTCGTGTGTTGTTACGGGTATGAGGGCTGATATCACTTCCCGGCTGCCCACACTGTGGAAGGGTGTTTCTTGAGAAACCTGAAAAGGAAATTGGATTAGTGTTGATCTTAGCGACCTGGGAGCGTGACCGCAGAGCCCAAGGGACAACTGCTTGAGGCCGGTCGCGCACGGCCTTTTCGTGGAAGGTTTTTAACGTGTTAGCTCCGTTCTTCAAAGGGCCTTACCGCCGGAGACGGAAATCCGTGAGGTAAGGTGAGGTGTGACATTTTTACGGTCAACCTTTTATAGCCTCACCCCTCCTTGTGGGAAGGCAGCATCGCTGCAGATGCTGGTTGTCCGAGGGAAACACCTTACTGCTGTCACACCCCTCTACAGTCAGCAGTACGACTTCGCCCTCAGACCTTGAGTTGCTGCTTTTAGTCTTACCGTTCTCCAATCGACCTGCCTGGCATGGTAGAACCTACAGGAACATATGTTCCAGCCAATATAGCTCGGTTGGGTCATCACGATAGGCAAGCCCGACCACCGCGTCAAGGTAGCAGCTTCGGTCGGGCCAACAAGATGGGATCGAATATCCATCCGCAAGGATTCTAGCAGTCCTCCCAATCAGACAGTCAGAAGGTCAACAATCACACACTGAACCACGCCGCGACCTTGAGCTTAGTCAAACACGTCCTTACTGTCAATGGTCCGGCAACATGCAATAGAAAATTAGGTAACAAAAGACAAGTCTTTAATCAAAATCACATAATAAAGGCGCAAACGAGGAAGACTGAAGAACAAAAGATATGATTAAACGAGATCGGAACAAAGGTTAAAATACACAACAGGGAGAAGGAACAAATAACTGGCAATACTGTTCAACAAAGAAGCTGCAGAGGGATTTTCACTGTTCTCTTTCCGTTACAATGACTGTTATAGCACGATTAATCAGGGTAGGCAATGTGACTTACACGTAAGATTTAATAGATCAGACAGTTACATCGTGATTAATCTACAATATTAGGACTTGGTATATCATTAGAGCAGTGCTAATATCGAAGTAAACTATAATTCAACAACCCACTCAAATCTTCCGCTTTAATAAAGCTGACTGATTACAAACCTCATTCGACAATTACACCGACTATTTCCAATAATTGCTAGCTTGACCAAACAGTGCAAATAGCAACACTCATAGTTGTACAATTTTT